TTATTCCTATTCTATTCATTCCGTTCTATTCTTTCTGTTCTATTCTACTCTACTCTATTCCATTCCATTCTATAGGCAAGCTGTTCCGCTGGTTAATTGTTAGGAACTTTCTCCTTAATTCCAGGTTGCTTCTTTCCTTGGTTAGTTTCCGTCCATTGTTTAATTGTCCTTTAAAAAAAAGTGCTTTGGAGAACAGGTTGACCCCCTCTTCTTTGGGGTCGCCCCTCAATTACTGGAGTACAGCTATTATGTCACCTTTAGTCCTCCTTTTCTCTGGCCAAACCCAATTCCTGCAACCTTTCTTCACGTTTTAATCTCTGGTCCTTTAATCATCTTAGTTGCTCTTCTCTGCACTTTTTCCAAAAGTCTCAACATCTTTTTTTTTTTAATGTAGTGACGACCAGAATTGGATGCAGTATTCCAGGTGTGGCCTTACGAAGGCTTTATAAAGTAAACCGAAGAAGCTCCTTGGACGAGGAGCAAAACGTCTTCAAGGAAAAAAAAAACCCAAGGAAGTCCAGTTGTGTTTTGGAAAGCACTTTTTGGGAATCCCACATGGTGAGGTGATCACATTTTGTGTGATGGATTATCCACTCACCTGTCTGGTGATTTGTGTAATCTTGATCACATGAATGTGATTTTTGATATTTTTTTTGGCCAGTTTCCACTGTTAGTTTTCAATTTATGGCAAAGCCTCCACCCCACCCATTAGGTAAAATGGATTTACTTAATGACTCCTGTGTTTGTTTCATGCTTGCAAACAATGTTGTAAAATCAGGTCCAGTCACACCTGGGGAACTGCTTAAGTGCCGCAAGGATTAATAAGAGCAATTTCCGGCTCAATTACAGTTATAAGTCAAGTGTTATCAGGCACATGCAGCAGGTGGAAATATCACCACCCATTCCAGCAGTTGAGTTTTTTTTTCCCCTTTTTTCAGTGTTTGTGAAGAGTTTTTCCAAAGAATAAAAGCCAAATTGGAAAGAAAACAGGAGAGGCGGGGAAAAAAGCAAGCAATTAAAGAGGGGGAAAAACCCTCCAATTTAAGAAATGTAGGAGCGACTTCTGGCCTTTACGAATGATAATTATGCTCTTATTGTAATATCTCAGTCCCTTCTACCTCTTTTAATCAACATTAAATTAATTTACACATTTCAGGCTCCCCACCCCCAGATCCCAAGTTCAACCGAGCTGTCAGAAATTCAACTTGAACCTCATGAAAACTCAGGCTTCCAGAATAGCAGAACAGAGGTGGATGGGACCTTGGAGGTCTTCTAGTCTAACCCCTTAGGCCATTTCAACAAATGGTTATCCAATCTCTTCTTAAAAGAGCACCCACAACTTCTTGAGGCAACTGTTTACAGTATCAGGAAATTTCTCCTTATTTCTATGTTGCTTCTCTCCTTGATCAGTTTCCATCCGTTGCTTCTTGTCCTGCCTTCTGGTGCTTTGGAGAATAGCTTGACTCCCTCTTCTTTGTGGCAGCCTCTCAAATGTTGGAAGGCTGCTCTCGTGTCTCCCCTGGTCCTTCTCTTCACTGGAGTAGACCTACTCAATTTCAGCAACCATTCTTTGTATGGTTTAAGCCTCCAGTCCCCTAATCGTCTTGGGTTGCTCTTCTCTACACTCTTTCTACAGTCTCAACGTCTTTTTTACATCTGGTGACCAAGGCTGGACGCAGGATTCCAAGTGTGGCCTTACCAAGGCATTGTAAACTGATAGTAACACTTCATGAGATCTTGATTCTATCCCTCTGTTAATGCAACCTAGGGCTGTGTTGGCCTTTTTGGCTGCTGCCTCACATTGCTGGCATGGTGTCAAGAGAGAGACATGGTGCACACTTGAAGCACACTCTTTTTTAAATTGCCACAGAACATTTTCCAAGACTAACACCGGAAGCAACTTCTAAAGACGCGCCTCGAATCCAACCAGCGCCGTGACTGTTAAATAACATGCAGAAAAGCACAGAAACTGGTCTTCAAACACCACACGGCTGATGGCTTCCAGTCACCGAGGATCTTCTCAAACGTCGAGTTGGAAGGACCCTGCGGAAACTTACCTGCAGCCTTTCCGTTAACTCACCTGGTTGGAGAAGCCACAAAAACAGAATTAACAAAGAATTGGTAGGGATCTTGGAGGTCTTCTAGTCCAACCCTCTGCTCAAGCAGGAAGCCTTGTAACATTTCACACAAATGGTTGTCCAATCTCTTCCTAAGCACTTCCAGTATTGGAGCATTTACAACTTCTGGAGGGAAGATGTCCCACTGATTAATTGTCTCCACTGTCAGGAAATTCTTCCTTATTTCTAGGTTGCTTCTCTCCTTGATAGGTTTTCATCCATCGCTTCTTGTCCTGCCTTCTAGGGCTTTGGAGAATAGCTTGACCCCTTCTTCTTTATGGCAACCCTTTAGATATTGGAAGGGTTGTCACTTCTACTCCTTTTCGTTAGACAGCCCCAATTCCAGCAACTGTTCTTTGTTATGTTTTAGCCTCCACTCCCCTAATCCTCTTGAGTTGCTCTACTCCGCCCTCTTGCTAGAGTCTCAACATCCTTTTTTACATCGCAGCAACCAAAACTGGACGCAGGATTCCAGCTGTGGTCTTACCGAGGCCTTATAAAGTGATACTAATACTTCATGTGATTTTGAGACTTCCACCGACGGAGCATCCATAGCTTCTGGAGGAAAGCTATTCCTCTGGTGAACTGTCCTCAAGGTCAGGACATTTCTATTTAGCTCTAGGTTGCGTCTCTCCTTGATGAGTTTCCATCCGTTGTTTCTTGTGATGCTTTCAACTGGAGAGGGCCCTCTTTCAATTGGACCAGGGATGTCAAAACTCAAGGCCTGTGGCTGGATTCAGCCCATGATGTGGTCAGATCCGGCCTGCGGAGCCATCCTGGTCTACCCTGCATGAAGAGGAAAGATTGGGCAGCATGGCTTCGGCCCGGTCTACTCAACGCGAAGAGGAAACATGCCAGCAATTTGGGGAGTAGCGTCAAGCTGGCCACACCCACCCAGTTGGCCATGCCCAGCCAGCCCCCGACCAAGGTCAGCCACAGCCCTGATGCAGCACTCAATGAAATTGAGTTTGACACGGTGGTCCTAAACAACGCTTTTTCAAGAGGCAACTGGACTTTCTGGTTTTTTCTCTGAAGAGGTTTCGCTTACCATTCAAGAAGCTTCTTCAGCTTCTTGCAGACAGCTGGTCATTTGCATCCTTTTTTAGAGGGTTGTTGAGGCCACTTGGAGGTTTTCCTGTGTCCTCAGGGTCTCCCGGTTTGAAAAAGGGGTCAAAGAGGCCATCTATGTCCAAGTTGAACAGCCCTCTCTCAACAGAGCGGGAGGGATACAACATCATGTATCTCCAGTCTACAACAGAGTCCTTTCAACATTTCCAAGAAGGCTCCACACCCAATTTGCACCACTCAGGTGACCTTGAGGACACAGATAAACTTCCAAGTGGCCTCAAGGACTCTCTAAAACGGATGCAAATGACCAGCTGCCTGCAACCAACATAAATCCTTCCATTCCCCATTATCTAGTCAGAGCTGAAGAAGCTTCTTGGATGAGAAGTGAAAAGAAAAAAACAGAAAGTTCAGTTGCCCCTTGAAAAAAGCACCTTTGGGTTCCTCCTACAGATATTCTCCCAGACTTTTTAGCATCTGTCTCCCCACTAGGAGCTGCACCCCACTTTTTCCATGATGGGCTGAGGACAGCTGCACTATCCTTCCCAAGGCCAGGCCACCCCACACCATCTTGACAAGCTGGGCCTTGGTGAACCCCATCCATTTCTCCACAAGTTCAACTGGTGCAGAGCGCCGCCCCCCACAAATTCTCCTGTCTTGCTGATACCGGCAAGATTTGAACCCCCACCCTACCCCTTCGAGGCTTGGTTTCAAAGTCCATCCGTCCTAACTTCCAACGATGCCCAGTCCGATGTTTCCAGAAAAATATCCACCAATCAGGCACTGGATGGCCACAGCGGGGGTCTCCAGTATGTCCTTAAAAGAGGCAGACTGTCAGCTTTGGAAGCCATATTAGCAACGGACGCTTCCACACTGCCACATTCTTGAGCCTGGGAAAATGGGAGGGGGGAATTTTTTGGGGGGTGTATGTGGTTAGACATAATAGAATTCTTTTCCTAACTCAAGGTCATGTTCTTTCTGCACCTGGTTGAGAGGACGTCTCAAGCTGGGACAGAGGGTGATTGGGGCATGTGATGCCGTGAGGGGTACAGGGGGTGGATTTGTAATTTTTTACTTATTACAAGGAACTTTCAGATTTGGGATTTCCCAGATGTGCCAGTTTACTCCTCTAATGAAAGAACTTTGGAGATGTCTGTCTCGGAGTTATTTGTCGGAGCGGAGGAATTTCTGGAACACTAACACAGACATCCCATTATCACAGAGCTTCATCTTAAGTCATCAGGACGTTTAGTGGCGCAGAATTAATTTTTCTCCCAAGGCACATTTTTCCCACCACACTCCACCCCACTCTCCCCAGAAGCAAGGTGAGACAATTCTGGTCCACCTTCCCAAAATGAGTCTCTCTTCTGAAGAGGTCCCCCCCCAAAAAAATTCTGCACGATGGACAACCGTCTCCACTTCTCCAGTCCAGGGAGGATGGATCCGGTGGGCAGGCTCAGTGGGCCAGTGTGTTATCCCCCATGGCGAAGGGGTGGGTCACGGAGCCGCAGCTTTTGCTGCGTTTGCTCTTCTGTCCCCAGGCGAGGAGACCCCCACCGGCTTTGCTCGGCAGCGGGGTCTTGCGGTTGTTCTCTTTGTTGCTTTTCGGCACAGCGCCCGCTCCTCTGGAGGTCATGACTGCCGCCTTCTGGTCCACCTTCTGGAGAAAAAGGAAGACCAGATGATCAATGAGAGGATGTAATAAGGAAAATGCTAGAATGTGCAGAAATGAAGGGGCGTGGCACAAAGGCAACGCGGTCAGATAATCAATAAGAGTCCCTTTAATAGCTCCAACTTTGCCCTCAATGTCCAGGTTACCTTCTGGGCTGGAGAGAAACTCCCAGGAACAGCCTTTGGCTGCAGAGAATCAAGTCCAAAACATGGTCAACACAAACTGTAACTTTAAGTCCAATCAAGTCAAACTGAGGTAATTAGTTGGGCAGGGCAGGAGCAAGAATTTCAGACGTGAAGGCACGGCAAAACTCACACAGTTGGAAAGACGCCAGGAACACAGATAAGCAAAGACAACACAGGATAAAGTTATGTTTGCTCCCAGCAGCTGCTGCACTCAGCATTCAGTTCTTTTAAACTTTCATTCCCAGGTGTGGCTAATGAAGGGAATCAGGGCCCTTTCCTCCCCCGTAAGCCACGCAACCCACATTGCTCCCTTCTCCATTCCTTCCTGCGTGCCTTAGGATGAAGAGGGGGTGCACTTGGGTCTTCCTATGAACTCCCTCTCCCTTGTTCTACCTCTCTCCTGCTCTGCCCAGCCAGGCTTTGCCCTTCCCCAGTCTCCTCCACAGCCAACGGAGCCACACTCCCACTCCCTGTCAGCTGTTTGTCTTCCTCCTCGGATTCAGACTCTGACAGGGGCATGACGCTTGCAATTAAAGAACAGGAACAAACTGAATATTATCAGATATGGGAATTATTTTATCAATGGCTTAGAGAAAAAAAATATGACAGCTAGAAATAATTATTAGACCATTGAAATACAGGAAATAAGTTAACAGAATTGAATCCGTAAAGAAAAGAAATGTGAGAGTAATAGAAATAATTTGTATACTTATACGATAAAAATATGACGAGAATAGAGAATTAATATTAAAATAACGAATATGGTTCTAAAATGTAATTTTTATGGCACAAGACATTTGTAACCAGAAGATGCACCGTAAAAGGAAAGATGAATTGAATGCATGTATTTTTAAATAAAATAAATTTTTTATTAAAAAAATAAAAGAATAGTGTCAATTCTGAAGGCATCACGAAATAATGGGAATGTCAGGATTCCAGCAACTGCCCTAATTAAATCATGATTCTCGAGCCAAACTTCAAAAAACTTCGAAGGATTTATTAGAGGCCACATGCTGGCACTGCCCTGTATGAAGCCAGCTCTGGCATACGTAATTTACAGTCCCCTGTCACCCCGTTTCCCCCTCTCCCCCCCTGGGTGTCTCATAAATCAGATTCTCCCATTGAGCGCATTCACAAGCTGGGTGTCATCAATCACATTCTCCAATTAAATATATTCGCAGGCAAAAGCTCTGGTATTTTAGTTACAATCTTTGAAAGATAAGAATTGAATGTACTTTCGCTTTCAACTGCTGCCTGCTCTTCCAGATCCCACCCCTCTTTTTAATGGCAACTACCGTGTTTCTCATATAATAAGGCCGGGTCTTTTTTCTTTTTTGAGCCCCAAAAAAATGGCTAGGTCGTCTTTTCGGGGGTGACTTAATTCCCCCCCCCTTGCATCTTTGGGCAGGCGGGCAGCGACAGCTTGGATGTTGACCTCAGTGCTGGTGGGGCACTTTGTATCGGGGTCAACGCAGGCAGCACCATATCCGGGTATGCAACAAAAGTACTTCCTAACGGCAAGTCCCCCCCCATTCCTCCCCCCATTTCGCATGTTTTAATGTAGGCCTTAATTTGAGGGGAGGGTCTTAATTTCATTTCATGCCTATAAAACATGCTGGGACTTCCTATTGGGGGAGGCGGTATTGTTGGAGAAACAGGGTACTAAAACAGGTTTAGGAATGTTTTAGGAGTTGACAGACAATTTTAGATTCCAAATTGTACAAGGGGGGATTGCAATGCCTCGTACAATGGAAGGGGTAGCCGCTCTCCGAAGCGACATGGGTAAAGAGCTGAGATGTAAAGGCAGACAAGGTTGGTTACAAAGTTCCACGAAGAAATATCCTCAAAAACCAAAGGGACCCCCGGAGGAGGAGGAAGAGGTGGTTAATTTAAACACTGATTAACCTCTATTGTGGTTTCTTTTTTCTTTTTTCAGGAGCTCGTTATCCGTTTTTCTTTTTTTTCTTTTTTTAATTTATGGGAAATTAAGTTTAATAAGTTCTGAATAATTATCTTAGCAATGAAAGCAATTTGACAGTGGAATAGATTACCCAGGAGGGTGGTTGGATCCAAAGATCTACAAGAAGAGGTCGAAGGGGAAGGGAATAATAAAAATAGAATTTTCGTAACCGTTGTTTTTTGTCATTTTTATAAAAGCTTTTGAACCTGCAGACTTCTTGATTATTATTTTATTACTTTATTTATTTTCAAGATTACATATCTCTATTTACATTGTTAACAGTATTGTGTCATCGATAATACATATATTTACATTTATTTTTACACATTAATCCTTATTCCTACGTTCTATCTACTTATACCATCTATCTCACATATTCTGATTCCTCTTTGCCTTTTAGTTCTATTGTTAAGTTTGTCCATTTCGGCACATTCTAATATGTTTTATATAGGAGCTCGTCGTCAGTTAAGGGGGTCCGACTGTCAACCCTGAAGCGAACCTGGCTGAGGTCAAGGAAGAAGGAGGGACGGGGGGAGGGAAATAGCTTGTCATGCCCCTGGTGGAGACGGACTCTGAGGGAGAGGAGGAACAGCCAACAGGAAGTGAAAGTGTGGCTCCGGGGGTTGTGGAGGAGGCTGGGGAAGGGCAGAGGCCGGCTGGGCAGTCAGGGGAAGGCCCAGGCCCATCCCCTCTCCATCCTAGGGCACGCAGGGAAAAGAGGATAAGGGAGAAATGGGAATGGCATGGTCTACGGGGAGGAAAGGGCCTTGATCCCCTTCATGGGCTGCAGCTGTGAGAACTGGTTAAAAGGACAGACATGCATATGGGCCAGTGCTGGAAACAAAGCGTGGAAATATCTCTAGTCTGTCGTTCCTCTCTGAGTTTGGCGTCCTTCCCAGTGTGTGTTCCGATATCTGTGGACGTCTTCAAGCCCTTATCTTGCCTGGTTCCCTTAATTGCTTCAGTGTGGTTTGTGTTGTTTTTACTCTCTATAATTTATGGGCATTTTTAGTTTAAACGGCATTTCCTTCTTTTCCTAACTGCTTGTGGGGGAGTTTTTTGTCTGCAGTCAAGGATATTTGGAGCCCTGAAGCAAAGGGAAGGAATAAAAGGGGCTTCCCCTGTTTTTTGTGACTGTGTTTATTTTGTATCCCACCCGGGGTCATCACACAACTGGGGTTTTATAGTCCAAACGAAAAGTTTTCCTGTAGGAACCAAGGACATTCAAACAGGTATCAGGGGAGAGGAGGAACAAAGTAACCAAGCAACCAGCCAGCATCTCAATTGGACAATGTGACTAGTGACTTGGGGGAAAGAGCAACGTTCACTTTTTAATCGGGTGAAAACCGCAGGAACTCTCAGAGTCGGTTTTCATCCGCTGTGCCAATAGGGAGTATCCAAATAAATTGTTCTTTGAGGAATCTACCAGCCTCGGAGTTCTGCTTTCAATGGGTACGTTACTTGGAACGCGGACCAATAGGTTATATCGGTAGTCCTCGACTTAACGTCCACAACGGAACCCCAAAATTTATGTGGCTACACGAGATGTTTGTTAAGTGAGTTTTGTCCCCCATTTTATGACCTTTCTTGCCGCTGTTGTTAAGGGAATCCCTGTAGTGGTTCAATTAGCGACCCGGTTGCAGAGTGAACCTGGCTTTTCCATCGACTTTCCTTATCAGATGGTCGTAAAAGGGAATCACAGGGACGCTGCAACTGTCATAACTATGAACTGGTTGCCAAGCATCCAAATTTTGATCACGTGATGACCACGGTGATGCTGCAACAGCCGTTAAGTGTGAAAACCAGTCATAAGTCCGTTGTAACTAGATGTTAACTCATAAAATATTTCTCTGGTCTTTTTTAGAGTTGCCAACCGAAAGGTGCATTCCATAAATAGTTTTCAAAGACAGTTTCTAGGCGAACGAAGTTTCTGCCATGCAAAATTCTAACTGGAGAGCATGATTGATGACTCTTGGCTATGGATGTGTCCCATTGGAGAGTATGAATTATGATACACCCAGGGGATGGGGGATAACCAGGGTCAAGGGTGACAATGAATGATGTGCCTCAAGAGTCGGTTACACCCAGGCAGTGCCGGACATGTTACCTCCCAATAAATCCTTTTGAAGTTTTGGAAGTTTGGCTCGAGACTCAGGATTGAAATGGAGGGGCAACTGCCGGAATCCTGACACTAGATGTAAAAGGTTGCAGGCCCTCTCTTGGGAGACCTCAAGGCCCCAGACCATTTGGGTTCCACCCTACCCCATCATCCACCACCCCTGCCCCCACCATCCTCCTCGCCTTACTTTGCTCTGTCCTTCTGGGGGTAGCAGAGTGATCACACCCACTTTCACCCCCTCCTCTCCGGCCACCTTCAACAGCTGCACCACATCTGCGTGCTTGGACCACCTGCAGTCTTGGCCGTTGATGGAGACAATGTAGTCCCCTTCTTTCAAGCCGGCTTCCTGCCGAGATAGAAACGGGCATAATTTGCGGGAGTTGGTTCAGGTTGGGAGGGGAGGGGTTGGGAAGAGGTGGGGAGGGAGACTAGAATAGACAGTGAACCGATACAGCAGGGGTGTCAAACTCAAGGGCGGGGGGGGGGGGGTGCACGCTCCCCGCGGGTTGCAGGAGGCCATCCCAGCCGAAAATGGAGCTCGTGAAGGCCACACGTGCCCCCAAGCTCCGTTTTCGGGTGGCGGAGGGATGTAGGAGGCCATCCCAGCCGAAAATGGAGCTCGTGAAGGCCACACATGCCCCCGAGCTTCGTTTTCGGGTGGCGGAGGGATGCAGGAGGCCGCCCCAGCCAAAAACGGAACTCAGCAGCTTGTTTTTGCTGGCAGGGAGCTCGGGCCACCACAGGTGCCCCCGACACGAATGACGTCATGTTGGCCACACCTTCCCCGACCCCCAAGGTCAAACACAACCCTGATGCCGCCCTCCATGAAATCGACTTTGACATCCCTGGGTTGCAAGAACTGGGCCTGGCTAGACCAGAGAAGGACCAGGGGAGACAGGATAGCGGTCTTCCAATAATATAGGGGCTGCCACAGAGAGGAGGAGGAAGGGGTCAAGCTATTTTCCAAGGTACCTGAAGGCCAGACAAGGAATAATGGATGGAACCTGAACAAGGAGAGATTCCTCCTGGAAATAAGGAGAGATTTTCAAAGAATGAGAACAATCAACCAATGGAATAGAAGTTGCCTTCAGAAGTTGTAGGAGCTTCATCCCTGGAGGCTTTTAAGGGGAGATTGGACTGCCGTTTGTTGGAAACGGTGTAGGGTCTCCTGCTTGGGTGGGGGGTTGGACTAGAAGACCTTTAAGGTACCTTCCAAACATTGTTCCATAGTTCTTTTAACCAGTGGAACTGCTTTCAATCAGAAGTTGTGGGAGCTCCATCACTGGAAGTTTTCAAGAAGAGACTGGACTGCCATTTGTCGGAAACGTTGTAAGGTCTTCTGCTTGGGCACAGGGGGTGGAGTAGATGATCTCCAAGGTCCCTTCTAAACATTATTCTGTAGTTCTTTTAACCAAGTGGAACTACTTTCCTCCAGGAGTTGTGGGAGCTCCATCCATGGAAGCTTTCAAGAAGAGACCGGACTGCCATTTGTCAGAAATGGTGTTTGGGCGGGGGGGGCTGGACTCGATGACCTACAAGGTCCCTTCCAACTCTGTAAAACTGTAATTCAAAAAGGGCTTGGGGAGGTCAGCCAGGAAAGAGGGCTGTGAGATGAACACGACATTAGGTGGGGGCACGGAAAATGAGGTGGGGTTGGAAACACGCCACCGAAATAGCTTCCATCAAAACAAAACAACTTCCTGTTGTTTCCCGTCCGGCAGCTGGTCTTTGGCTGGACACATGGCATGACCGCTGGGTCATGGAGATCAGCTTACCTCTCATGGTTCCTGGCTGCTGATAGACTATCCTTCCCGGCCATTAATTTTGCATAGTCTCCCTTTGAAGTTCCCCATGGTGGCCGAGGTCACGTCCCCCGCCCCTTCTTTGTGACTTGGGCGATCAAGTCCTTGCTGTTGCGTCCAGGGATTCAGTTTCCGTGTATCTCTTCTCCCAAGCCTCCCAAGTTCTTAAAGGAATGCTGAATGACCCCTTTTGTAGATGCACGGATACGGCTGCTCTTTATTGGCCGAAAACCAACTTAAATGGCCAAGAACCGACTGGCCGTTTGATCAACTTGCTTGCGGGGTTCTTGAGCTTCTACTGAAATTTCTCCCGGCATCAGATTTCCACCCTGACCCAAGACTGACCCTGTAGTTGCCATTTTTTTTTTTTGCTTGAGTGCTTTTGACAGTCTGCATGAACTCTGGATGAGGGTGGATGAGGGGTAGAAAATGCTTGGGGGAAAGCGCAAGTAACTGCTATTATCTCCCTGAGATGCTACTTCAAGGTCGCCCGGCTGGGAGAAGAAGGCAGCTACGGGCCAACATTCTGAAAACATCTTGCTTGAATCTGATCGGTCATGGAGGGACCAGAGATGGGAGGCAATTAAGGAAGGAAAATAGCTTGACCCCCCCCTCCTCTTCTCTGTGGCAGCCCCTCAAATATTGGGTGACTGCTGTCATGTCTCCCCTGGTCCTTCTCTTCACTAGACTAGCCAGGCCCAGTTCCGTGGGCCATGCATTATTGCAATGCAGTTGACTTCTAATAAAACTATATCTTTCTCCATAAATAGACCCTAGGGCTAGCAGGTCAGATAGTCCCTCCAAACCACACTGGGAAGTCCTGTAAGTTTTCCAAAGCAATCCTGGATCCCGCTTTGGCTATTACCGAATAGGCAACTTACCGCTGCACACCCACCAGCAATGATCCCAGCGACCAGGACTGGAGAATCGCCTCGCAGGGTGAATCCAAAGCCGTTTGCTCCGCGCACCAAGAGCACCGTCCGGATGGGGTGCCACTTATTCTTGGCAGAGAAAATGGAGAGGGGTCCCTGAGGGCGAAAAAACAAAACAAAACGTGGGCCCGGAGTAAGGAGCCAGGCTGAAGTGGTCCGTACATTACGCTGGTCAACAGAAGGCGAAGGGAATAGTAATAAGAAAGAAATAAATGTAGTAGAATATATTACAGCTTCAAGGGCAGCCCCATGTAGAGCACGTTGCAATAATCAAGATGGGAACTGACCAGGACATGAGTGACTGTGAGTAGAGACCACTGATCCAGGAAAGGGCGTAAAACTGGTGCACAACCCGCAGTTGCGCAAAGGCCCTCCTGGCCACGACCGCCACCTGCTCTTCGAACAGGAGTTGTGAGTCCAGGAAAACCCCTATATTACGCGCAGGGTCTGTTTGGGGTAGTGCCACCCCATCCAAGACTAAAGGTGCTAATTCTCCCTGAACCAACGAACCCCAGACCCAGAGCCACTCAGTCTTGCACGGGTTTTAGTTTCGACCCGTTGCTCCCCATCCAGCCCCTAACAACCTCCAGGTGCTGTGAGAGGGAAGACACGGCAATCCTCAACTCACCGCGGGCCGAGACATACAGCTGAGTATCATCAGCATATTGGTGATACCTCAGTCCATGGTGACGGATGATCTCACCCAGCGGCTTCATATGAATGTTGAACAGGAGCGGAGAGAGTACCGAGCCCCGCGGAACCCCGTAAAGCAGTGGGTGAGGGTTGAATCTCTCCCCTCCTATCAACGCTGACTGAGAGCAACTGCAGAGGAAGGCAGTGAACCAAGACAGCACAAGGCCTCCCGCTCCCGTCTCCTGAAGCCATCCCAGGAGAATTCCAGGATCAAAAGCTGCCGAGAGGTCAAATAGAGCAAGGATGGATGCACTACCCCCATCCCGCTCCCGCCAGAGATCATCCAAAAGTGCAACCAATGCTGTTTTCTGTCCCAAATCCAGGCCTGAATCCTGACTGGTAGATTAGAGATCTAGAGATTAACATCATGATTAATACTGGACCAACAACCAAACAATAAACAACAGTCTAATCAAGGAACCGGCAAGAACACTCCCACCAACACTGACAGGCCAAGCCATGTGTATATAAGAGCAAACACCACTCCCTTCTAGCACTGATGATGTTACCTAGTTGGGTCATGAAACGCCTGCAAGCAAACAACCCTGCTCAAAGAGTAGCAAGGACCCCATATTAACTCTTCCCCATCAACCACTCAGATAGACTACGTCCAGCTGCTCCAAGGCCCACTGAACCATTATGGTTAAGAGCCTCTGATAGAACGTTCTCCACAAAGAACTTCATCTCCTTTTGAGTTCTTTGTGCTTGACTGGTCAGCAAACTCTGGACGTTAGTTACAATCTGGGCAGGAGGAAATAGCCAAGCAGAGGACAATCCTCCTTCTTTTGAGCTGATACCAAAAACTTCAACATGCTTTGGTCATGGGACACTAGAAGACAAAATTATTCTACTGGCAAAGTTGAGGAAAGGTAGAATGGAAAGACAATGCATTGGCTGAATAGACAGGCTCACTGGAAAATCCTTGGAAGAGCTACAGATTACTCTTGGAAAAGTTGAGGGACGGATGGACAGGATCAAAGAGTTGATGACACTGTCTTTGGAACCGCTATTAATGATTGTTGGAGACAAGCTGAGATGGTGAACGTTGGTTCCTGCAACCCCCAGAACTGACTTGATGGCATCTAAGCCTATCAGGAAATTCCAATTTTACTCCAGCCGTACTCTTGTGCTCATCAACTTTCTTGGGTAAATGTGAATTTTTGCATTATGAAAGTTGAGAACCATGCAGCGGTATGCACAAGTGTACACTGGAAACCACAACACACAAGGCTATTTCAGTTCCGGTTCTATGAAGGCAGGGTCTTTGTTGTCCACACAAACACAATTCTCTCACAGGAGGTATCAAACTTACCAATCTATGAAAGATGTCTACGACCTTCACCTTGGAGAAGTTGGGGGATTTGATTTCAGGTCTCTGATGTGTTTTGGCTAGAAGAACACAACAGAAGGGAAAACGTTACAACTTTGGAACCCGGTATCTTCCGTATTTTAGTTCACACTGAAGATAGAGGCCTGAGACAAAGAAATGTGTGCTTTCCATTCACCCAAATACAGAATTTGACTCCGGGCAAGTTTCTAGTCCTTCAACCTAGGACAACCTAGAACATCTAAAAAAAGAGCTGGAATAACACTTAGAATTTCAGAAGCCATGAAGGAAGAGTTTAATTCAATGAGCGTACAGTCCACTGAGCCTTCATGAAACACCAAAGCAACACGTCTTGGCTACCAGTCAATGGAGGTCATGGTTGAACCCAACCCTGTTGTGTTGTCTGCTCCAAAAGCTGTTGGGTTGGCAGCACCATGAAAATTTTAAGTCTGGTCCATATCATCATATGTGGTGGGCATGCACAAAAGCAAAAAAAAAAAAAAATATTGGACAAAAATCCATACATGGTTGGAAAAAAAAATGATAAAGCAACAGTCAGAACGATTAACCAGTGGAACAACTTGGCTCCAGAAATTGTGAATGCTCCAACGCTGGAGGCTTCCAAGAAGAGATTGGACAGCCGTGATGAAGGGTTTCTTGTCTAGGAGCGGGGTTGGACTAGAAGACCTCCAAGGTCCCTTCCAACTCTTATTCTGCTTTCTGTTTTTGTGGCTTCCCCAACCAGATGAGTTAACAGAAATTCTGTTATTATTCCAATTTTACCCCTTTTTTGAGCCAAAAGGATTGTTCATTTGGGGCTCGGGGATAGCAAAGGCCAAATTTCTCTAAGTTTGCAGGAATTGGGTATAATGAAAAGAAGAATTAGAGGGGACATGATAGCCCTGTTCCAGTATTTGAGGGGCTGCCCCAAAGAAGAGGGGTTGGCCAAAACACCTCAGGGCAGGACAAGAAGCAACGGGTGGAAACTAATCAAGGAGAGAAGCGACCTAGAACTAAGGAGGAATTTCTTGAGAATGAGAACAATTAAACAGTGGAACCGTTGTCTTCTGGAGGTTTTCAAGAAGAGATTAGACAATCATTTATCTATTATAAGGTCTCCTGCTTGAGCAGGGAGGTCAGGCTAGAAGACCTCCCAGGTCCCTTGTTCTGTATTCTATTTTCAGATCCAGGCCAGATTGGCAGAGGCTGCCACTTACGATGGATGTCTGGAGCTTCTGCGGTTTCAAAGAAGTCTTCCTCGTGCTCAATTTCGGAGTATTTGTTGAGGGACCGTTTGTGGGCCAGTGAGAGGACCTCCTGCAAGATATCCATCTTCCTCAAGATCTTGCACAAGCTGTGGATCCTCATGGCCTCCTCGTGCTCGATTATGGCTTTCTTGAGGTGGGCTTTCCCTGCAAAAAAACACAAAAACACAACAAACATGTCCACCTTGGAGAACCAGAAACCCAAAGCCCAATGCCAGCCTTGGGTTGGCCCCTTTTCTGAAAGGATCTGGTTGATCCTCCTCATCAACCCCTCAGAAGAAGACGTAGAAGAGAGCGGAGAGAAGGATCCCTTAGAAGGGACGAAAGAGGTACTATTTTAGAGAGTAGAAGACAACAAGAGGCAGGTGTAGAGGCAGAGAAGATATTTGGATTGAACATGAGTGATGTAGAGCCGGGGGTGGGTGGGGGTGTCAAACTGGATTTCGAGGGCCGGATCCCCCTGGGCCATGCCGGAGGGGGGGGGGGCAGGATGGATGCCTCCTGTAGCACTTGGCCTGCTAAAAATGTTTTTGGGCGTTTTTCAGCCCATTTTAAGTCTGTTTTGGGTGGCATTTGGGGCCATTTTTGAAACATTTTCAGCCCATTTGTTGGGCCATTTTTCGGGCCGTTTTGGGGGTGTTTTTCTTTCTTGGACCATTTTGGGGTTGTTTTTCAGGACTTTTTCGGGCCTCTTTTTCAGCTGTTTTGGGGTCATTTCTTGGGCTGTTTTGGGGTCATTTTTCAGGACTTTTTCAGGCCTCTTTTTCAGCTGTTTTGGGGTCATTTCTTGGGCTGTTTTTGG